AGTGGTTACGAATCGGGCTGCGAACCTTAAGGTCAGCGGTTCGAAACTACCAGCCGCTCCGCGGGAGAAAGATGAGGCTTTCTACTCCCCTAAAGATTTACACCCTCGGAAACCCTGTACAGGGTCGCTATGGGTCGGACCCGACTCGATGGCACTTAACAACAACAACAACAAATACTAGGGAAAAAACTTTTAAAGTAAAGCACTACTTTAAAGAGTTCCAGTTCAGAAAAATTTCTGAGAATTGTTTCAATTTATACATTTCTGAGGTTAACAGCGCCCTCCTCCGGAGGAAAAGTGACAGTTTCTTGAGCCAATAGGCAGAACAATGCTTCTGTAAGTAAAATTTGGAAAGGGCTGGTATTCATGAAAGGAACTGCTAAAAGGACTGCTTCTTCCAATCAAGAACAGTTTACACATATCCCCTGACTGCTTTGGACGTATGGTATAAGCTCATAGCAACAAATAATTCCTGGAAGGTCATTTATCTTTCGGTTTCGGAAGGCCTGCGAGACAGGGGCACACCCTGACACATGGGCACCAGACAGAAAAGTTCGCGTATGCAAACCCTGCGCAGACACTGCCGATTCATTACAGAGCCAAGGCCATGTGGCCACCGGAAGTGCCGCTTTCAGTAGCCCCTTTACCCAAACCCAGGAAAAAGAGCGAAGGAAACAGAAACGGAGGCTCGCGCTCAGTACCCGGAAGGCGGCTGCCTCTCGCTCGCGGCTCCACGGCCCGGTCAGGGTGAAGGTGGCGCTGGAGCCCGCGCCGCCACCGCTACTGCTGCTGCCGCCGCTGCTGCAACAGCAGAGCACCCAGAGCCAGCGTAGCGCCCGCGGCACCATCGCGGGGCTGGAGGTCCTGGGCGGGCAGCTCTGACCAGATTCCTCTTTCGATTTCTAGGCTCCTCCCACTATCCGAACTTGGGGAGACAGCAGGGTGGAGGGAGAGTGCACTGTCCTGAACACATTGGCTGCTCTTCTTGTTGTTGTTGTTGTTAATTGCCTTCGACTCGTTACGATTCACAATGACCCTATATAGGAGTCCTGGTGTGGCACTGTAGGATAAGCACTGGACTGCAAGGACGGTTTGTGTCTCAAGGTTGTCGGTTCAAACTCACCAACACTTCCTTGGAAACCCTATAAGAAGGGTTGAAAGCTTCATCTTTCTGCCGCAGGCCTGCTGCTGGTGGTGGTGCTACGTGGCGTGGAGTCTGTGGCATGGAGTCGGTTCCGACTCATAGCGACCCCATACAGGGTTTCCGAGGCTGTAAATCTTTACGGAAGCAGAAAGCCTTATCTTTCTCCCGCGTAGTTATTTCGAACTGCTGACCTTGAGGTTAGCAGCCGGACTCAACCATTATGTTACCAGAGCTCTAATCTCATACTTTGTGATTATCCAATGGAGCTAGTGCTTATCCTATGGTGTCACCCTGCTCCCCCATTGGCTGGCTGCTTTTGTTGTTGTTAAGTGCTGTCAAGTTGCCCTGTATAGGGAGGGTGTTCAAGGTGCAGCTGGTGGGTTTGAACTGCCAACCTTGTATTCTGCAGTCCAGTGCTGAATTTACCGCTCCAGGCCACAAGTCCCTTCAGTTTCCTATTTATCTGTACCTGGGAATCCTGTTTGTTGTTGTTGTTATGTGCCGTGGAGTCAGTTCCGACTCATAATGATTATTTTCGAGGCTGTATTTTACAGGACCAGAAAGCCTCTTCTTTCTCCCACGGAACAGTTGCGGAACAGCTGGTAGTTTCGAACTGCTGACCTTGCGGTTCGCAAGCCTGATTCGTAACCACTACGCTACCAGAGCTCCTTATGGGAATCCTGGTAGCTGGACGATTTTGGAGTTCTCACTGTTTCTTTTGAAGCTTCAGGCATGAGCCTTAGCAATAAGGAGACCATACGAGGGGTAAAGAATCCTGGTGTGGCACTGTGGGAGAAAGCACTGGACTGTAAGGTTGGTTTGAACCACAAAGTCAGCAGTTCAAACTCATCACATGCTCCTTGGAAGCCCTATACAGGGTCGCTATAAGTCGTAACAGTCTCAATGGCACAAATACAAGGAGCAATAAAGTTGCTTAGGTAATAAGACTGGGGAACAAGACTCAGAGTAAGCATATTTAGACAAGTTCCCCAATTTAACTGCTCAGACACTTGAACCAGGAGTACAGCTCATGCCTCTGACAGAGAAAATATAAAGGGAAAGCCAAATTGTCTGTGGAAACTAGGGAGGTCATTCTTACTGCTCTGTAAGAATGTCTATGCTAATAAAGTCTACCTATCTTTTTATTTCTGCATATGCCTCTTTTTTCCTAACCTCTTTTGCATGAGGTAAGTGTGTTACACCTTCCCAATTCTTTGGAAGGACAGTAGCACTGTTCCAAGGACATTTCAACCATGAAAGGGTTGCAGTGAAGCTTATGAACAGGATTGCAATTATCTGAAGATTTCACCCGCTTTAGAGGATTCTGTTTCAAGTTTATGTAGCTGTTGGCGGGAATCTTCAATTCTTCAACACCAATCCAGAGAGCTGCTTCTGACATGGCAGCTGGGTTTCCCCAAAGCAAATGATGGGGATGGGGGAAAGACTGAGAGAGAGAGACAACATGAGGAGTGATTGAGAGTGAGCAAAGGAATGACTACCATGAAAGCTCCAGGATCTTTTATAACCGAATTTCCAAAATGACAAACCAGGAGATGAGGGTCATATTTGACTTGGGCAGGCCAATTGCAATCATGCTCAATTTGTGGGTGTGAAAATATTCCAGAAATTCATCCAATCCTACAAATGCCTCTCAATTTGTAGCGTAGTGCTTACGAATCGGGCTGCGAGCCTCAAGGTCAGCAGTTCAAAACTACCAGCCGCTCCGCAGGAGAAAGATGAGGCGGTCTGCTCCCGTAAAGATTTACAGCCTCGGAAACCCTGTGTAGGGTCACTATGAGTCGGAATCGACTCTACGGCACATAACAACAACAACAAAGCCATGATTTATTGTTGTATCTATCCTGTCAAGGACCTTCTCAGTTTTCTACAATTTTTAATTGTTCTCTTAATTTTTAAATGGTTTTGCTATAGAATTACACTATTTTTACCTAATAAGCACTTGATTTCCCAAGCATGTTTTATCATGCATTTTGTTGTTGTTAAGTGCCTTTGAGTTGGTTTACACTCATCCAGACCCTGTTTAGGGCATTTGAGGATGCGGTGGTGGGTTTGAACAACCGACTTTGTGGTTAGCAGCCCAATGCTTATCCTACAGCACCATACATATACGCTTTATTGAATCCTCATATCATTTCCTTCAAGTGGGTACTGTTGTCATTTTCATTTTATAGATGGGGAAATTGAGGCACAGAAAAGTTAAGATACTTGCTGAAGGTTATGCATCATTCCATTGACAAATCTGGAATTTAAATATATGGGGTCTATGTTTTGATACTTTTACAGTTGTTCATCATCGCTTTTATATGCTTTGCAGAATTTTGCACCTTCTCAAGATATACAAAGATGTTTCTTTGTTCTCAGCAAGCATTATAATTGCATGGTAATCAGCTAAGGATTGTCAAATAATTTGAGACATAAACTGAGAAAGATGCTAGTGTTTCACTGGGAGAAATATTTGAGTGGATACTAATTTTAAAAGAGATTAGATCTTTAGTGCATATTTCCATGATATGAGTAGCTTTGTATGTCCCTGCACAATCCCATGACTGCACTTTCAGATAATGAACAGCAAGATAAGAAACAAACTAGTCCATTATCTCTAATTCTTACAACAAACCTCCAAGATAGGCATTATTATCTTCACTTTACACCTGAGGAAACTGACATGTGTAGTGACTGAGGAATTTATTCAGGATCTCAAGTAGTAAGTGGCAGTGGTGGCGGTGAAATATAAATTGGATTGTCTGACTTCAGAGCCCACATGTGCTTTTCCTGCTACCCCAGGCTTCCTTCGCTTACTACAAGGCATATCTTGTTTCTTAGTGTTTAATTTTGCCCTAGCTTTTTATTTTTATTTTCTTTTAATGGATCTTATCTGTTGCAGGAAACATAGAAAAACACAACATTCAGTAAACCAGGCCCTTTGAATAAGTTCAGAGTCATGCTCTTTGAGTAAGTTTGTTGCTTTTTTTTAAATCACCCTTTTAAACTGTGTTCTCTATATTACAGAGTTATGGTGTGGCACTGTAGGATAAACACTAACTTCAAAGTTGGCATATCTAACCCACCAGCTGCTCCTTAGAAACCCTATACAGGGTCAG